AGGGAAGGGGAGGGCACACTGCTAGATAGGTAAGAGACAAGTACTGACTTGGGTGAAGAGAAAGGCATCATACCAAATTGAGTGATCAACACAATAACACTAAGGAAAAGGAAGATAGAGTAGTGCACAAGAGGTACAACAAAGATAAACCCTTACACATATATAATACTGCATTATCAGTGGTAACAAACATTAATCTATGGGTAAACAGATGGGTAGACAGGCTGAATGATCAAGAATATCTAGGCAAAAGGGAATATACCCATGACCATGTATAAGGTTGAAAGACAATATTGCTTCATACATATTTATATGTGCTGTAAGAATGTCCATGTAACTAGAACTAACAGGGGGCAAAGTTATGATAATTTCTTAGTCACATTCAACCACCCTAATGGAGCGAGTTATGGGACTTATGGGCTCAGGACCATGGTCATGGGGGACATCAAGCTCAATCAGCATAACATACTACACAAAATCATTGTTCTACATCCTACTTTGGTGAATGGCTAGATGGTGCCCAGCTACCACTGGGGTCTTAGAAGCTTGCAAGGGGCCATCCAGATGTAATAATTGGTCTCTCCTCACCCAGAGCAAAGAAGAATGAAGAAAGCCAAAGATGCAGGGACTAGTGGACCATGTGAACCTAAGCCTGTATGACCATGAGACCAGAAGAACTAGATGGTGCCCAGCTACCACTGTCAACCACTCAGAAAGGATCAGTACAGGAGATCCTGGGCATGGGAGAAAAGTATGCAACAAAACTCAAAATCATAAAAAAAGACCAGGTTTATTAATTTGATAGAGCCTGGTGAAACTCCCAAGACCATGGCCCCTAGTTACCCTTTAGGCCTAGAACTGAACTCACTCCAGTGGCTTCCAAAAAAACAATAGACAAACATATAGAGTGAACATCTATACCAGTTAGAGACACTCCTTAGAATGATCTATCATGACAGAACAGAAGGGCAGTATGTGCACAGGGAGACAGCTCAGGGGGCAGGAATGCATAGGTAAGAAGGACACAGGGAAGAGGTAACTACAGGGAGAAAGTGTGAAAAGAGCTGTTACATTATGGGGGTTGCAGTCAATGTCATGAAACAAAATGTGTATCAACTGCTGTACAGAAAACAAATATGCACTGTAAACTTTCACCCAAATCACAATGAAAATTAAAAAACAAAACAAAGCAAAAAAACCCCACCAAAACCAAACCTACTGCCATCGAATTGATTCTAACTCACAGTGACCTCCATTAGTTTTCCAAGGCTGTAAACTTTTACTGAAGTAGATTGCTTCATCTTCCTCTTGTGGAGCAGCGGGTGGGTTTGAGCCACTGACCTTCTGGTTAGCAGCCAAAAGCCATGTCCACTACTCCTGGAGAGACTTAATCAGCATCTGACCCAAGGGATCCCTCTTTGTTGAGAGAAAGCGTGAGTGTATCGTACTGAGGATGGGCCAGAGTTGGGGGCAGGAAGCATTATTTTACCCAGAG